CATCAAGTCTGCAACATAGTTAACACTGTCCTGATGTTCACTTCTTTCTTTTGGCAAGTATACAAGTGAATATATAAGATGTTAACATTGGAGGAAGCTGGGTGAAGGGTATACAGGAACTCACCACACTATCTTTTTAATTTTTGTTTAAATCTAAAAGTATTCCAAAATTTAAAAGATAGGTCTATCTGTACTAGCATGAAATGGCCTCTGAGGTATAAATTTAAAAAGAACGCAACCCTATTCATTCTTTGACGAAATTGGCAAAGTTTAAAGTCTGACAACATCAAACCTAGACCCCAGACCTAGAGAAATGTCTGCTCATGTGCACAAGTTTATAGAAGCAGTTTAAGATAAAAGCAAATCTAGAAATAATCTAAATGTCTAGCAACAAAGTATGACATAAATGAAGTACCACAGTGAAAATGAAAGAGCTACAGGTTATTGACATGAATGAACTTCACTAGCCGAAAGAAAAAAAACCCAAGAATACATACAATATTCGTAAAATGTTTAAAATACCCAATACTATACATACTGTTGAAGGTCATACACTTGAGAGGATGAAGACCTGCAGGGAAATGATAAATAACAAGCCCAGGAAGGTGGTTATTTAAAAAAGGAGGAGGAACTTGTTAGTCCCTGTTTCTTAACCAAATGCTGCATACATGGGTGCTCATTATAATTATTCTCCCACTTTTCTGGAGGCCTACAATGTTCTACATGTGAAAAAAGACCAAGCTGGTGTAACAGGCTACCATTTGTGGCTTAAAAAAAAAAGAGAGAGAGAGAAGGGGGACTCTCACACACTGTCAACTATACGTTGCTCAGAAAGGCTCCCAAAGGAGCTTACCAGGCTATCTCTGGGAAAGGTCTGGGGGACAGTGGTGGGAAGGAAACACACTCTTTGTCCCAATTTTTACATGGTTGGACTTGTTCAGTGTGTGCAGCTATTATCTCAACAGTTCGCCCCCCTTTTCTGGATGGGGAAACCAGATGAGGGGACTTAAACAGGTACCATGGTAGTAACAAGAGCCTAGAAAAGGAATACTCAGATTACCAGGACAGAGGCCCTGATCTGCTGAGCTGCTGATAAAGGCTGATCTCATACTAAACCAAATCTGGCAACTACAGTAGACTCCCACCCCCTCTTAACTGCAGACTACCTACCCTCATTTGATTTCCTGCCCAATAATTACATACAGCACACACATTTCTAATTCAATTTAATGGTTTTATTAAATATAAGACCTCTGAAATGAATGAGGCTAGTGAATATCACAAAATCAAGGGCAGAGGAGAATTGCTTGTGCAGGTACAACAAGGACATTGACAAACATGATACAGATTTTATTCATGGTTTAACAGCCAACCTTACTGTACCTACTACCTATGCCATTCTACAGAGCAAAATAATAAAGCCTCATAGCAACCTTATTAGATAGAAATGATCAGTAACTCTATTTTGCAGATGAGGAAGTACAGTGTAACTTGTCCAAAATCATCAACATAGTATCAGCAACATAAAATTCTCTTCCAGTTTCCTCTCAATCCCATTATAATTATAAATTCCCTAAGAAAACATGGAGTTTACATAGATTATTTTTCAGTACACAAATTATTACCCAAGGACATAATTTTGGTCTTCATGGGGGGAAAAAAAAAAGTAAAGCACCTAGTACCTTGCAAGAACCAAACTGTTCATCCCAATCGCTGTATTTTTCACTATTGTTTTAAAATTATTTGGGGGGGAGGAAAAAGGGAAGGTAATAGAATTAGTGTTCCCTTCAGTTGGTTTAAAGAAAATCCTGAAAAAAAAAAAAAAAAAGAAAGAAAGAAAGAAAATCCTGTCCTTCCTTCCTTCCTGGTGGCAGAATCAAACAGGAGCCAGAGAGCAAGGCTCTGAGCCTGACATCCAGTAATCTAGAATGACCATGCTAGAAGACTGTCTCCAAAAGCTGTGGCACACACTTGCCCAAGTGGCAAGGTCTTGGCTTAGAGAGGTTCCCATGCCTCATTATGTGCTTTCTGCAGCCAGCAGCACCATGTCCAGCCTCCCTCTTCCCCATCTAGTCAAGTCCCAGCCTGGCCATTCCAGTTTCACAAACCAAGAAAATGGAGGAACTACTTCTCCTTCCTCTGATCTAGAAAAACCCAGACCAGTCAATCCAATATACTTCCACTTAAAGAACCACTTGTAGAATGTATTAAATACAACTTGTCAAATGCAATTAAAGCACTTACCAAATCCTTGACTGGCTAATACAAATAAACCCCTCATTAGCTGCATTATTGTTTTCAGAATAAAATTAATGATTGAAAATTGAGAATTGGGATTTATTCTAAATTCCTGTCAGGTGAGAACTGAAGTTCTGCTGATATTCAGCAGACTGCACCATAAATTTATGTCTTGAATCATCATAAACATAAGCTATCAAATGAATATATACGTACACATAATACATCCTAGCATCCCCAGAGAGCCTACCTGCCTCAGCACTGGGCACATAGCATTTACCTGGTTAGCCACTACACAAGGGACAGTAACAGGGCAGCTAAGCTTCACTAAGCACATACCACATTCCAGGCACCACGCCACATGCTTTACACATACCACCTCATTAATACTAGCCCTGCTTCTTCCATGAGGAGTCACCCAACAATATGCCCTTCGCATATGATTCCATTTGCAGAAAGTTCAAAAAGTTATTTTTACATCTATGGTGCTAGAAGCTAATTGTTTCCTTTGCAAGTGTAACAGGGTAGCGAATGGGTGAGGCACAGGGGCTTCTGGATGCTGCTAATGCTCTCTATTCCTTGACCTTGGGGGCTGCTTACAGTGGTTATGTTCATTGTGATAATTCATCACATTGTACATTTAAAATGTGCATGCTTTCAGTATGTAAATTACAACCCCTTCAGGTGACAAAAGCTAAGTGTTGAGGGAAGGCTAAGGAAAGTGCAAGCACTGCCAGGAGCCCTGGGTTCTGATCCTGACTTCCCCAGTAAACAGCCTGTGATTTGGGGGCACATCAGTGTCTTCATTACCTACAAAGAAATCAGATTAGATGCTCTCCAACTTTCTCAATATACCATTACTTTCCTTTATCAGGTGGGGAAGAGCAAAGGACCATGGGATGAATCAAAAAAAAAAAAAAAAAAACCTCAAAACCAAGCGTCTCTATAATCACCAGGACATCATTATTAACTCACAACAAAGCTCATCCAGGTTCAGGATGACACTCTGTACTACAGTAGCCCCATGCTGGAATGGCAAGTTCTAAGAACCTCTCAGAGAGCAGAGGATGGCTTCAGTCACCACACACCTTCACTAACAAACTCAGTCATCACTAGAAATTCTTAACGTTGGGGTAATCCTAAAGGCCAGACAGCAAGGTTAGAACAAGGCCTATAATTGTAACATACTCCCATTTACTCAAGTGTTCAGGGAAAGGGAGAGGGTCTCTTGATTAACCAAATATTCTGGTTAACCATACTCCCAAATATACCAGAGGACGATTTTACACTTCAAAAGAAACAAGTCCCTTGTGGTGATTTGAGTGATTCAGAATTCCTCAGGGTCTTGTGAGGAGTGACTCACTGCCAACAGGAACAACTGTTTGATATGCAACAAAAGTCATTCTCTCAATCCGTGCAGAAAATTTAGAGACTAGTATTAGTTTATTCTACAGACCACAGAATATCAAGAAGGATCAACCCCAGTGAGAAATACATTTTCTTCAGTGACTATAAAACTGAAAATCTTTACAAGCAGATCACCTTTCACAGCATACAAGTAAAAGAAGTGTAAGAGCATCGTTTAAGGTCAAGACACATTCTTGGGAGGCACTCAAAGCTAACACAAGAAAAAACATCTTCAACTTATTTCAACTATACAAGCTTATTTTTATTTATTTTTTTGGTTTTTCGTCGACTCCATCATCTATTTTATTACTGTTTATCAAAATCTGAATAGCTGCATGACAGAATGGAAGCCAGCCCCTAATTACAGTTAACTAGAGAAACAGAAATGGAGGTTGGCCTTAAAGATCAGGTTTATTTTCCTTTCTGTAAACTATATTACCTGGAAAAAAAGGGGGGAAAAAAGACTTGGGCTCTTCTCCGTATACAAATTAAAACCTGGCTTCACGACTATAAAACTAGAATAGTTTGCTAAGTAATCAACTTCACTCACTTTCCTTTACTATGATGATTTAAAGGAGGTTATGATGCGAAGGCACGAGTTTGGGGCACAGAAACTGAGAAAGGTCACAGTGACATGGGGAGGGCAGGAGGGATCCTAATTCCAGGAAAGCAATGCAGCTGGTTCCCAAGTGTTTCCTTCATAGCCTGCAACGATTTTAATAACATTTCAGGGCAATCACAGCTTCTCACGTATTTATACATCTTCCTCTAGATAAAGGCCGCTGCTAAACAGGCCAGCGGCTTTGCAAAGATCTTTTAAAGGAGAGGAAACTTGAACTTCATTGCAAAATCATCTGCACAAAACGCCGTATCATCTTTGAGATGCAGAACCAAGGGTAAATATACAGGTACAGATAAACATCAACAGAGACAACATACTTAATGTGCTTCCTGCAATTTCAACATTATTAAAAACTGGGGCAAGTGAGGTCAGAATGGGTCCCGCTGGACGGGACTGCAGTCCGTCTCGGTCACGTGCGCCCGGCCCCAAGCACAGCACAGGTGCAGGAGGGGTCACCTGGGGGCGCCCCCAACCTGACCCCGGCGGGAGATGCTGCGACTCCCCGGCCCCGCCCCCCCGCCCGGACCCCCCCCCGGCCCCGCCCCCTGCCCCCCGCCCCCTCCCACAGCCCCTGCGCCCGCAGGTAGCAGCGCCGGCCGCGCCTGCGCAATGAGCGCCCCTCGTCCACAACCGAGAACGGAGGAGCGAGGCCCCGGGCGGTCCGCTCCGGGACGGGTGGGCCACGTTCTGCGAGGATCCCTTCCCCGACGGGGCGGGGGGTCTCAGGGCTTACCCGCGCCCAGGAGGCCGGCCAGGAGGCAGAGAGTGTACATGGCGACGCCGACTCCGCAGCCTGCAATGCAGAGCGTCAGCTGATCCTCGGCGGCTATAAACCTGCCCCGCCCCGAAGCCGCGCACTGCGCAGGCGCAAGCTCCGCCCCGACCAGGCCGGCCCCAGCCCTCCCCGCCGCCCTGACTCAGCGGCGCGCACGGCGCCTGCGCAACGGGAGGTGGCGGGGAGGGAGGGGGATGGGAGGGGGACGGGAGGGGGGACGGGAGGGGGACGGGAGGGGGGACGGGATGGGGGACGGGAGGGGGATGGAAGGGGACGGGAGGGGGGATGGGGACAGGAGGGGGAATGGGAGGGGGGCGGGGAAACGTGTGGTGGAAGGAAAGGGACAGGTCCTGCAAAGACAAAACTAGTAATTGAAGAAGTCCACATTAGAGATTTTATTATGTATAAATATCTTTCATGCCTCACATTTTTTTCCGTGATGTACCATTTTTTCTTATAGAAATTATAGAGAAACAATATTCTGTTATTAATTCCATTCCATTTTTCAGGTGGGAATCCAAACTCAGAAAGGTTAACGACTTTAAGTCCTCAAGGTTATTATTCAAACTCATCCACCGAACCCACATTGTCTCCCAAAGGATGTTTATCTATTTACCTAGCTGGGGCCCGAGTGTGGCCTCACTCTGGGCCCGGATTTTCCCTGTTAACTATTCATATCCACAATCACTTCTCATAGCCTACAGACGCGCTTTCAATATTGAGTACTGTCCCTGCCAAGGTCCTACCCTGGTTTGTCCCGGAATTGGACAAAGTGGAGGGGAAGATGGGGAAGAATAAGAAGGGCCTCAGCCATTGGAGAAGTGAAGCTGGAATTTGAGAACCTGACTGTGCATCAGCCAGAGGCCTTGTTGGAGAAGGAAGTGGCCCCACACTGGGCAGCCCTTAATCTTCTTCTCATTCCAGAATAAGAAAGCCGCAGGTGGCCCATACAAAATCACCTGCCCTCTACCTGTGTCAGATCCAGTCCGGTCCTGAGCAGAGGTCTGACCCTGCCCCTGTCTCCTCCTAAGGGACAAGTATCTGCCAGCCCAAGGAAGGAAAGGAGGGAAATCTAAGCCTATTAGGGCAGGTCTAAAGATCAGCTAGCTCCATTACATCTTTATACCAAAGGGGAAGTTGGGAAAGAGAGGGAAAGACATTTATCCAGTCATACCTGACCAGAGAGGGGCAAACCCAGTGATCCATCTGCCTCCAACAATCTGTACTCCTTTAGGAACCAGAACCGGCCACCAAAAGGTCTCAAAGCCTTTGGTTCACCTCCTCCCCACCACCCCCACACTGTGGTTCTTATTTCCCACTGGTTGCTGACAGGGAAGTGTGCACCCCAGTGGGCGATGTGAGAGCCCTGAGTAAAGTTGGGACAAGATTTGATCTAAACTGGGTACCTCACTGGTTGGCCTCAGTGGCCAGATGGCTGCACGGCTGCCCCATTTTCAGGCTTCCTAGATACGGGCACAAGCACAAGGCCGATCACGCCAACAGCCAGATAAATGCAAAGGAGGTGGAACTCTAGAACACAGCTCTGTCCCTCAGCTCCAGCAAAGCATCTCTGTGTGCCATACAGACATGACAAGACTCTCTGCCAAAAGGAAGTTTAGAGACCCTTTTGATCATATGCTCTCCCTTTGGTGGAGCTCCTGAGCTCTCAGAGCTGCTGAATGACAGAGTGAACCAACCACAACTCTTTTGTAATACCCTCCTGTCTCATAACTAGAGGGATAAGACAATGTTTTTGAGATGTGCTTTTTGCTGCCTTCATTTACATACCTAGAACACAAAAATATGATCCTGCATCCATCTCGCTCCCTGTAGGACAGAATTTTAATGAAGAATATAAAAACAGTAAGTGGATTATTGTAACTTTTTACCAAGTCAGTAGATGCTTAAATCTCTTAAAATACCTTCTTAGCCATCTGTACATAGGCAACAAAGAGCTGTGAGATTGTTTGGACCCTTTGACCCTATAATACCATTCCAGGGAATATACCCCCCAGGAAAATAATCCAGAGCTAAGAAATATTTTATCCAAAGTGGTCACAGAAGCACTCGGTATAAGAGTGGATACTAGAAAGATCTCAAATGCTGAACAATGATAGCTAACTAAGGAAACTGTCCTGACAAAACACTAATACTCAAAAAGTGTCTTTGAAACATGAGCTAGAAGGAGCAAGGGCTGGTATACAGCAAGCCTCAGAGGGAAGTGGGTTCCAGGAAAATACAGGCAGAGCAAGGCCCAAGCCCCATTGTTCACTTCAAGTCCTGCTGCAACTGACTTGCCAGAGGATAATGTGGAGCTGGAGAGGGAGCTTCAGGATCCCCCAGTCCAGGCACGCACAGGGGCAGCAAAGCCCTCCTGCCCTGTCTCCCCCCTAGAAGTGGGATTTTTGGTGAGGAGAGGAACAGAGAACTGGAGGTGGGGAGAGAGCCTGCTGACTTGGATTATCTCATCTTTGCCCTATTTTACTCATTACAATGTCCACACGTGTTACTTTATGTTTTTTAACGAAAAAGATTAGCTCATTGTGCAATAGTGCTAGCAGTTTCACTCTTCCATTCTCAGAACCGGCAACCCTCCCTTGGGCTGAGCTGCTACGAAGCCCCTACTGGCGAGCTTGTAGGAACTTGGAATGGTCTTCACCCCTCTAACTCCCACCAGGGGGAAAAAATGGTTGAAGCAAATCACCCAGGAAAGCTTTTCATTGGTGGCCTCAATACAGAAACAAATGAAAAAGCCTTTGAAGCAGTATTTGGCAAATATGGACAAATAGTGGAAGTTCTATTGATGAAAGATCGTGAAACCAACAAATAAGAGGATTTGCTTTTGTCACCTTTGAGAGCCCAACAGATGCTAAGGATGCAGCCAGAGACATGAATGGAAAGTCCTTAGATGGAAAACCCATCAAGGTAGAACAAACAACTAAACCATCATTTGGAAATGGTAGACATGGACTACTTCAACCCTCAAGAAGTAGAGGCCCTCCAAGAGGTCTCACAGGCAGAAGAGGAGGAAGTGGAGGAACCAGGGGACTTCCCTCATGTGGAGGACACATGGATGATGGGGGCTATTCCATGAATTTTAACATGAGTTCTTCCGGGGGACCACTTCCAGTAAAAAGAGGACCACCAACCACCACAGAGTGGCGGTCCTCCTCCTAAAAGATCTGCCCCTTCAGGACCAGTTCACAGCAGCAGTGGAATGGGAGGAAGAGTTCCTGTGTCATGTGGAAAAGATAGTTGTGGAGGCCCACCTCGAAGGGAACCCCTGCCCTCTCATAGAGATGTTTATTTGTCCCCAAGAGATGATGGATATTCTACTAAAGATAGCTATTCAAGCAGAGATTACCCAAATTCTTATCAAAAAAGAGATTATGCACCATCACCAAGAGAGTATACTTACCATGACATGGTCATTCCAGTTCACATAATGACTACCCATCAAGAGGCTATAGGATAGAGATGGCTATGGTCATGATTGTGACTATTCAGATCACCCAAGTGGAGGTTCCTAGAGAGATTCATTTGACAGTAATGGTAACTCACATAGTGCTCCACCTATATGAGGGCCCCCACCATCTAATGGTGGAAGCAGTCGCGATGATTACAGCAGCTCACGTGACAGATACGATGGAAGTCAAGACAGCTACTCAAGCAGCCAAAGGGATCTCTCTATTCAAGTGGTCATGATCAGGTTGGCAGACAAGAAAGAGGGCTTCCCCCTCCTGCCCATGATTCCTAGAGCAGTTCAAGCCACAGAGCACCAAGAGGTGGTGGCTGCAGAGGAAGCTGATCTGCTAGAGGGGGAGGCAGAAGCAGATATTAAAAACAAACAAAACTTTGGACCAAAATCCCCGTTCAAAGAAACAAACAAAAAAGTGGAACCTTTCCTGTCATGACTACTAAAAGGAAAAATTACATTACCGTTTTAAAATTTCCTGTTAAGTTCCCCTTCCATAATTTTTATGTTCTTGTGAGGGAAAGAAAGTCAAATCTGTTTAATATTATTTGACCTTATGACATCGCTTTCGAGAAGCAAATGTTAAATGTGTTAAGACTTGACTTGTGTACTCGTGTTGTAACTCTTCAAGTTAAAAGAAGTGTCATTAAAGGCCACTTTCTATATCTGATTTTTCCTGGTAAATGAGGCAAAGCAATTCTAAGACCTTCCACAAACATCTAGCCATCTAAAATGGAGAGGTGGGTCAAAAAAATTAAAATAAAATAAAGTAAAATAAAATGAAATGAAATAATAAAATAAAATAAAATAAAATAAGAGAGGTGAGCCCTCTGCCTATACAAGCAAGCTAGCTACTTGAGGGTGGTCGGGGTATGCTACGCTTAGGATTTCAGAGTGTCTTCAAACTGAAATCTCTATGTTCTCAGTAATGAAAAACCTGAGATCAGATGCTTATATAAGGAAAGTGCTTTTCACCCAGTAAATCCAAAAAAAGCAAATGGATAATGCTGGCCATATTTTGGGAATCTGCAAGAGCCTTCCCTTCCTGCTCCCCCAATAAGACCATTTAAGTGTGTGTTAAGCAACTGCAGAAAACTAAATAAAAAGTTTGGCCAAAACCAAAATAAATTTAAAAAATTAAAAGATTATGGGAACATTTTATAAAGAAAAGAAAATCCCATTCATTTCCTCCCTACTGTGAGCTCAAGTTTTCAGGAAACTGAAAAGATCTCTTTCTTCAGAAATGTGAGCCATACTTGGAAATCCCAGCAGGGATCCTGATGATTATCCAGTTCTGAGTCCTAGTTCCTCATGAGGCCCCATTTTCAGTGCCTGAGTTCTTTTGAAACACCCACCTGCCGGATCCATTGGTATTTCACTTTTGGCTCCAGAGAGCTTTCATCTGTTTCTACACCTGAAAGGGTCCGTGGCCAACATAGCTGATTTAGCAGAGGCATCCACTGTGAAGGCCCGGCTCACTCACTTGGCTCCCCAAACAGCCACCCTGGCACCTCATCCTGCCCTGGAAGCCCTCTGAGCCTCTGTGTCTCAAACAGTGACATCCAGCATCTTCCTCCTCAAGACCTCCA